TGAGGCGGAGTCTCTCTGTAGTGGTGGGTTGCCTTGGCAACAGCTGGCTGCCTCAGCATTGGCTGACTACCTCTGTAGTGGCAGGCTGCCTCGGTAATGGCCGACGCCCCCCCACCCAACAGAGCTGGACCGACCCTGGTTCAGCTGCGCTTGCTGTGAAACTCTCAATCCAGAGAGTTTCTGATTGCTGTTCTTTTGTGGGGGTGGGACCAGCTGAGTCTGATTGCTGGCTCCCTGCCTCAGAATCATTTTTTTTTTTTTTAAGTTGGTGTTCCAGTCACCTGTTGAAGAGGCGCCGCGGTGTGTGTTTTTTCCCGTGCGACAACTCACTGTGCTGGCTTAAACAGCGGCACCGAGATTCGTGGCGCTTTTTTTTTTGCCCTGTAATCTACTGTCCTGGCTCCCTGCTCAGTCCCCTTTTTAAACAGACAAATGGGCAACTTCCCGTGGCTCCAATCGCCAGCCAGAAGGGCACCTGGACCGGTGTATTTTGTACAGAGAACCGCTGCTCTGGGGTGCCGACAAAGCAGCCTCGCGGGGCAAAGTAGCAGCGCCAGCTGGCACAGCTGCGCTGGCCGAAAAAGCTGCACTGGCAACCTGTGGAGCTCCTCCGCCTGGGAATTTCCTAGTCTGTGGGCAATAAAAATGCGGCATCCACTCACCCTCTGCACTTTCACTGGGAGCTGCAATCCTGAGCTGTTCCTAAACGGCCATCTTGGATCCTCCCCCTTGTTCTTCACTCTTAATCCAGAAGGATGTCATAGTGGTCCATAAGGACAGCTGTGTTCTAGCCACCAGCTAGCCTGTCTGAAGTACCATGAAGACTCCTCGTTTTTATCTTATTTAAAAAAAAAAAAAAGCCACTTGTTACTAAGCATCACAACTAAAACTTTCCTTTACAGGTAAAGATATCCGAAAGTCCTTCTGGGAGTTAGGGACAAAAAAGTAAATATCTGATCTCACTCTACTGAAAAGGATTAGAGGATAATCCATCTGGTGAGCCTCTTAACGGTCCAAGTGTCTAAAGTAAGAGTAAAATGGTGGGGGCTTGGATAAAGTGTGTTATGAGGTAAGGCTTATCCGTTCATTTATTCCCTTCTTCTACAAATACTTTCTGAGTTCATACTTTAGGCTACGTAGTAGGTTCTATATTGTACATTCTTGTATCTAAGTAGTGATTATAGTAAACAGCACAAGTAAATAAATGAACTAATTTTTACCAAAAAAAAAAATCCAATAAATCACATATTGTTCTAGTCTTTGTCTCTGTAACACCTTCTCCAAGGGTAAGTGTTGTGTTCCTTGTAGGAGAAAAGATCTGAGCTGTCCTCTTTGCTTCCTTAAGGCAGATTTTTTTTTAAAACTCTGTCCCTCGGCTCTCCTATTTCAAACATCCAACCATTACAGAGAAAAAGAAAGCACCTACAATCCTCCAAAATGAAACAATACATTTATAGACATGGAAACAAGGAAAAAATGAAATGGAAACAAAGGCATCTTCTAAACACATATTTTCATGTTGTTTTATCTATCAAGTCAAATCTCTCCCTGGTCTGGGCTATCTCTGTACCTGGCAACTCTTCTACTGCCATGCTTAGCACAGTGAATACATAAACTTTCTACTTACTTAGGTGCTTCTTGCACTAGACCACAAGCTGCCACTAGGTCTTGCTACCAGAGCAAGAACTAGGCCTTAATCATTGCTGTATGCCATGCCATAGCATAAAGCTTCCCCACAAGAGGCACACGATGGTTATCTACATGTATGAACTAGAGAATGCATCCAAAGGGTTATCAAGAAAATGAGAGCCAAAAGTAGACATTAGGAGCTATAATCTGAAGTTAGAAAACTCAAGAGGCAAGAAGGGAAGAATTGCCAGCTAGGGAATGCAAGCAAGAAGGGGAGGCTTGGGTAAATCCCTGAAACAAAGACTATGTTCTGAACAGATTGTGTGAAGGAAAAAGATGAGAAACATTGGGAAGTTGGCAGAAAACTTAAAAAAATGGGATATTTAGGTTTGCAATTTGTAATGTGCTATACTTTTATGTTTATATTGGTAAACAGCATCTCTAATATGTGAAGCCAGATTTCTGAATGAGTCTCACCAATCCCTCTCCATCATCACCCATGCCCAATAGTCTCAATTCCTCACTGGTATCTCTTTAACCCTTTCCCAGTGTTTGATTCTCACTCCTATCACCTTTGTTCAGGTCCTCATTATTTTTCACTTGAGTTGTTTTCTCCTCCAAATTCAATTCTCTGTTTCCAGTCTGTGTCCCTCAAAAACTCTTCTTTGATATGAAAATATCTTCCTAAGATTTGGCTCTGATTATACAACTTCCTGGTTCAATCATCTTCAGTGGCCCCCTATTTACAAAGGTCTCCAAAATATAATTGTATTTACTGCCACAAAGTATAAGTAACATGGCAGAGTGCACCCTGGCTGAACAACGGAGTCAAATGGAAGTAAGTTTTGAAAATGGCATCCACCACTTACTAACTATGCGACCACGAGAGTCACTTTTGCCTAAGACTCAGGTTTCCAATGAGATAGAGAAAAAGAGAGACTAAGAAAAAGAGAGAACTAACACTTAAAAAGAGTGTGGCTAGCCCACCATTGGGTACATGATACAGGCTCAGTATATTTCCCTCAATTTTTCTACCCAGACCAGCACTCCAGCCTTGATGATGCCCTTACCCAGCCCTGGACACTGTGCTCTATGTTATCCTCTGTGCTCCCAAAGACTATTGATCATAATTTATATATCACTTACCCTGTCATGCTTGTATTTTATTTTCTTATAAGTATATTTATTTGTAGTTACTGTTTTGAATAATTAGTTTTTTCTACTTCTAGATTTAAAATGCTTTGAGAACAAAGTTTTGACCTTGTTGATTAAGATTGTCCAACTGGTAGCCCCACACAAATTCGTAAACTTTCTCAAAACATTATGAGTTTTCTGTGATTTATTTTTTTAGCTCATCAGCTATCATTAGGGTTAGTGTATTTTATGTGTGGCCCAAGACAATTTTTCTTCTTTCAATGTGGCCCAGGGAAGCCAAAAGATTAGACACCCTGTTCTTCATCTTCACATCTCCCATATTATATTCCATTACATACTGCATAGAATAGGAACTATTTAAGTGTCTACTAAATTGGGGTTCATTGTATAGTTTTATGTGATTTATCCAAGTTTTAAGTTGAACATTCCTTTTGGTGTAAGAATTAATAGTAAGGAGCAGAATAGAGAATTACCATACTGAAAATAGAGTATATCCCTGTAGTACCCAACACCAGCCTTAAAATACAGTTAGTGTTCCCTAAGTTAATTTTTGTCAGATTAAAAACCTACTGCGGAATATGTTTTTTAAAAGAATCTTGCCCTTGAAAATAAAATGGTTTTAGTCAAAAAATATTTGGGCAAGAGAGGATAGTAACATCTACCTAAACCCATCAACAGTCTTGGGGGGAAAAATGCCCAAAGAAGATCAGTTCTAATGGGATTGGACAGTAAAATTATCATACTTTAGAATATGAATTTTCATCTAAATAGGTTTGTATTCTCTATTTCCACAGAGACTTAAACCTGAGAAAATGAGCTTAAATTGCATACAGAAATGTACAATGACATAGGATTCTTCGGGTAAGGTACACAAAAATTGTTTCCCATTTTATTTTGGGTACATAACATGAAGAGCTAATCTTTGAACAAATTAAAAATTAATATAGTCACTCTTTTTTTAATTCTATATCTTGAAGGCAAAGTAACCAAAGTCAAACTTTTATGGTAGTGTATACAATAGTTATTACTGGCATAACTTTTAGCAGTTATTACTGCTGATTCTTTAAAAATATATGGCAAAATTGTTAAGATCAAGAACTGCCAGGGGGGCGGAGGGGAGGGGGATCCAGGGTTAAATATCCTACAGCTTTAGATCATGACCAAATTACCTTCCCTCCAAATCTGTTTCATCACATACTATGGCGGCAATTGAAGCATCTAACTGAAAGGTAGCTGTGAGAATGAAAAGATTAAATTATGCTGGTCATAAAGCATTGTGCCTGAAACAAAATGAGTACTTGATAAATGGCAGCTATAATAATGGTAATCATTACTATAAGTTTATCCAGTTGTAATCGTTTTAGCTACCTACTAGAAATACATATTCTTTACAAAGCAGTCTTCTTTCATCCAGTGGTGGCATGGGCCTGTCTGTGGTCCCAGCTACTCAGGAGGCTGAGGTGCGGGGATCACTTGAGCCTGAGAGGTTGAGGCTGAAGTGAGAGAGATCGCGCCACCACACTCCAGCCTGGGCGACAGAATGAGCCTTCGTCGTGTCTACATAGTTAACTGGCCGGGAGGGGCGGCTCACGCCTCTAATCCCAACACTTTGGGAGGCCGAGACGGGCAGATTACTTGAGGTTAGGAGTTCAAGCCTAGCCAACATGGTGAAACCCCGTCTCCACTAAAAATACAAAAATTAGCTGGGCATGGTGGCGGGGGCCTGTAAACCTCAGCTACTCGGGAGACTGAGACAGGAGAATCGCTTGAACCCGGAAGGCGAAGGTTGCAGTGAGCTGAGATCGCGCCATTGAACTCCAGCCTGGGCCACAGTGCGAGACTCCGTCTCAAAATTAAAAATAATTAGTTAATTCATTAATTTAAAAACAAAGCAATCTTCTTTCAAAGTCGATCCCAAGACTGCTGGAGGCTGGACCCGCTAAGTCGCCCCCTACCGCGCGCGTGGCTTCGTCCCGGACCCCCTTTCGGCTCTGCGCGGCTGCTGGAGGCACTCAGCGGAGCCAGGGCGAGCACCGGATCCCGACTGGGCTGAGCCGCAGGTCCTGACCAAGCCACCCGCACGCCGCCCCCCCCGCCCGGCGGGATGAGTGACGGCGGCAACAGGTGCAGAGCGGCGTCCGCGGCTTCTCGGGAGCCCCCGAGTTTGGCGCGTCAGGCCCCGAGGGTCAGAGTTTGACTCTGGAACTTTCTTCGCTTTACACCAGTCTTCAGAAGTCACCGGTCAACCGGCTTCTTCCACCTCAGTAAAGCCTTAAGGTCACCTCAATCTCTCGAAACCCACCAGTCCCAGAGGCCGACTATTCTCAAGTGGAGGAGAGGGGAAGGCGTGCGGTGCATGGAGCTTTGCCTGACTGCTCGCTCTCTCCTCCCCAGCCGTCTGAGAGCAGGCAAGAGGGGTCCTAGAACCGAGCCATCGCTCCACACGCCCCACGCCCGCCACGCTGTGCTCTGCGGTCTGCCCCTGAGGGGCCCGGGCTCGGAGTCCCAGGACCACAGCCGAAACTCGCCCGCCCGCGCCCCTCTCCCGCTTGCGGCGCCCGCCCGCACCGCCGCCTGCCACCCGAGGCGACGCCGTCTGCTCCTTCCCACCCGCCAGGTGGCAGGTTCAGGGCCGGGGACGAGCCTGCCACCCCTGCCCTCCCCGCCAGGGGGCGAGAGTCCCAGTCAGGACACGCACGCTGCTGCCTTGGCGTGAAGGTGGTTTCAAACTTTAAACTTCGCTTCCCTACCCGTCGTCTCTGAAGAGGTGAGAGGAAGATGGAAACCGAGTCCAGGCCGGTGAGTACGGCGATCAGGGCCCCAGGGCCCGCGGTAGCGGGGAGGAGCAGTGTGGATCCCGTCATCCCTGAGGGCCCAGAAGGGCAAGGTGTAGACCCCAAACGCTCGCTATCTGGTTGGGAAGAAACGTGGCCAGGTGCCCCATCGACCGCTGCGAGAGCCGCCCACCCGCAGGCCTCGTCTGGCTGTGTCGTGGGGTCAGGAAGGCGCCGCCACGGGCCTGGACTGGGTGTAGACGAGCTAGGGGACCTCAGGCGCGGATGTTTCTGGAGGCGGCGGGCGGCCGGGCACCCAGCGGAGTCCGAGCAGATAAACCACTTTCCCACCGAAACTGGGCTGGACAGCATCTTTGACGCTCCCTCCGGCCGAACTCTACCCGGCCGCCCGAGGCGAGGAGTTGCCAGGGCCGTCGACGCCTCCACTCCCCGACTGGTCAGCGAGGACTGGTCTGAGAGACCTGGGGCGGGGAGTAGGGGCAGGCTTTAGCCTAGGTGGGACTCGGACACTCTAGCACTGGCTGCGTGCCAGAGCCTGTCAGGGCGGACTCGGGGAAGGGCGGGAGGGCGGCCAGGACAGGCCCGAGGGGCAGAGACAACGTGCCGCCCCGCCCCGCCCTGCCGCCAGCAGCCAATCAGAGCACGCCGCACGAGGGTGGGGGCCAGCTGCGCACGAGGCCGGCGGCGGGATCGGTGCCGTTGAGTGTTCCCGCCACTGCTACTGGCGGATTTGCGGGGCAAAATTTCTCGCTGGCTCGCCTTCTTTTCCCTCCCGCACTTTGGTGGGGAGGGGGTGGATCCTCGTGTCGGTCCCCAAGTTCACGATGACCCGAGAGAACTCGAGGAAGTTGTCGCCGCGGCCATTTCTCCCAGTACCTCAACTTGCTGGCCTCGGAGGGGGAGGAACGCCGAAGCCGTGACTGCGACGGTTAGCCCGCCCTGTGCCTGCTGTCTGCGTTTGCAAAATAGATGCTAGATCTCGAGGTTGATTCTCAAGGGGATGATGCAGTGAGGGCACATTGCTTTGGAGGAGACGTTTAATAAACTCTAGTGCTGGAAGTTTTAGCAAACGGAGGAGCCTTCAAACCCTACTGCAGTCCACATCTAAGTGTTTCCGTAACACTTGAGGAATTATTGCTAGTGGCATTTCAGGCTTTCTTTGTTGTTTAACTTAAATGCATCACTAATTGGTTCTAATGAACTTAGATGTTGCCTTTACCTGAGCCTTGCTATTGCTTAACATTAAAATATTTTGTAGACGCTATTACACTCTATTTTTTAGCCCTCAGCATATTTGGCATATCGTGAGCAGGTCTGTCCTGAAGAAATGATTCACTCATTTGATCATTCAACAGATATTCATTGAGCACCTGCTGTGTACTGTCAGTACTTTAGATGCTGCCGAGAAAAATGCAAAACTTCTGCCCTAGTGCATTACATAATAATGGAAAGAGACAGAAAATAAACATAATAAGTAAATTATATCGTATGTTAGAAAATGATGAGGGAGAAAAATTAAGCAGTTCGAGCCCACAGTAGACCAGGAGCCTTGAGAGCGGAGGAGAATGAAGTGGATTGAGTGTAAAAGGTTGTTTTTCTTTTCTCAGAGAGTATCCTTTAGTTTCTAGAGATTGGAAATAAAGCACTGTTTACTTCCTTTCATTTCATCCCTCTCTCAATGAAATATGATGGGGTTTGTCCCTTACTTAAAGTTGAGAACAAATGAGTTCATCTTATTCGTGTTATTTTCAGTAAGAAAATTTCATGAGGAACGATTTTTTTAATTTAGCAAATAGGTAATTTTGACACTGTAAACAAATGGCCATCGAGCTGTTATATTATCTCTAGCAACACAAAATTAACAGTTGAGCAATACTAAGCATCCCAGAATTACCCATTCTGAGCATTATATCCTACTGAGCAAAGTGACTGAAGCCAGTAATAACTTCCAAGTGCCCAGAGAGAAAGCTGTTAAGATTAGAGTCCCAATTTTTTTAATTGGAAACTACAACATAGTAATTATTAAATGCAGTGGCTTTTCTGTGTTTTAAAAGAAGTATTTACGTATTCCTCATTGGGAGTACATACTTTCTTAACTGGAGGAGGAAGAGAGCCCATAAGGTCTAGCCTATAGCCTACTTGCCACTGCTGCCCTAGTCATTTCTTTGTACATCTTGCAGAGATTAATTTAGGGATTGTGGTTTTATTGGCCAGAGAAGAAAGAGCAGGACGAATTTGAAAAAGAACAACTCCATTACCTGGAAACTCATTTTCATGTGTTTGTTTCTCAGAGAATTGGAATTATGAACTTCAAGCTTTTTCGTTATTTTCTTTTTCTTCTTTTCGAGACAGGACCTTGCTTTGTTGCTCAGGCTGGTCTTGAACTCCTAGCCTCAAGCAATCCTCCTGCCCCAGCCTCCTGGAATTATAGGCACAAGCCACAAAACCCAGTTTACTTCAAGTTTTTTGAAGCATACATTTAGTATATCAGACTGTCCCAGAAGTCTATTTAGTGTTTCCAGATGGAAAATAATTCACAAGTTTTTGAATTGGTTTCTTTTCAACATAATTTTCAAGTCTTTTTTTTCAATTATACCTTAAAAGTATATTATCTTACCATTCTGCAAAGGTTTACACATTTATATATATTTATTAAAATTTAAATTAGGTCCTCTAACTTAGAATTGTGAACATATGGATATGTACTGAACTAATTCTTTGGAATAAACATTTATTAGCTATAAGTATATAATTTTTAACAAAATCAGTCCAATCTTCAAACTGACAAATGCATTTAAAATTTTTACTTTCAGGATGAAAATGGTGAATGTGAATGTCAGAGTTTATTAACTTGGCAATGACCATTAGTTAAAGACCAACAGGACTACATACATCACTTAATAAAGTTGGGTCTGCTAATTGTTCAAACAAGGGAAAACATAAACCATAGGATGGTCAGTCAGAGGATGTTAGAACTTGTAGGATATAGGCTTGTGTTGAGTGATTTTTAGAGAGGGTTTAAGTAGAGCTTTACTCTGGAATGCATGTTGTCAGGAAATGGTAGTAATTCTATGATTGGATGTGTTAACTTTTATCTAAAAGGCAAGAAAAATGGATCGAGACTAAAACTATAAAAAAAGTGCAGTCACTTATCATCCAGAATAGGGGGATGTTTGGTTATTCTTGTGATTTGGGCAATGCCTTTGTTTTTGTCGGCATTCAAACATGATTATGAAGTGGTCTTGTTTTTAATTTCATCCGTCAGATCACAGGGTGACTTTGTCTGGTGATGGTGTTCTAATAACAAGGGAACACCACAGCCTAGATGTGAGTGCCAGGCCAATTCCTAACAACACCAGGGCCTAGTTGATTGTGTCAGGCTGGAACTGCTTTTCTCTTTCTCAAACATCTTCATGAGTTTAATATTCCCCTTAATACTTAAGTAATAAGTTTGATAATAATATAAGCATTTTAAGTAATATATTTAATATTTAAGATCTCTATAGTGGAATACATTCTGCTTTCTAGTTCTGTTCCTCTAAAAAACTCTTATCTCTAATTATAATTTTTGTAATAGTAAAAGTAAATTCTAGAATACTATATTTTGCCTAAATGACTCCTTTTTTGAAAGATAAATGTTTTCAGTCTGCATCAAAAGCAGACTGCATTGTACCCAATGCTGAAAGTTTAAAAGAATCTTATTTTACAGCAAACATCAAATCAGATGCAAACAGATTCATTATCTCCATCCTCTAATCCTGTGTCACCTGTGCCTTTGAATAACCCAACAAGCGCCCCAAGATATGGAACAGTGATCCCTAATCGCATCTTTGTAGGAGGAATTGACTTTAAGGTACCTATTTATGCATGCAGTAAAGTGTATTTTTTTGTTAGAAGTCTTTAGTTCTCAGAAATTGTTTCTTGTGCAACTATAAAATATAACATATTTACACAATGATTAATAGATTTTGAATTCTTATTATAAAGAGCCTTTTCAACCAGCATGTAGGTACATAGAGAATAAACAATTATTCAAGTTCAAATACAAGGAAATTAAGCCTCATTGACTTGCTATATGCTCCGTTGCCGTTTAAGGAGCCTTTAAGCATTTTAAGTAATATATTTAATATTTAAGATCTCTATAGTGGAGTACATTCTGTTTCTAGAATGTACTGGAAACTAGTATACATTCTTCTAGTTTTGTACTAGAAGCCTAGTTTTCTGTCTTATAGCTCCACACTCTTCCATACCAGAACAAATTATACTTTCTTGCCTGATACACCAATAGCCAAAATAATGATGATTATAATTTTCTAAACAGACTCCATTTTTTAAAAACTTAGTTTTATGAAATCCTATTTCTTTATCTCAACTCTTACCTCAGGTTCCTGAGCAACCTCCTAGGCTTCTATTCTTTGCAAAGTACTTTCTGTGTTAGAATTTAGGATTTGATCACCAAAAAAGTCCTGTGTCCTTGTCAGAATAAAGCATCTTGAAAGTAATCCTAGCACTTTGGGAGGCCGAGGCAGGCAGATCGCCTGAGGTCAAGAGCTTGAGACCAGCCTGGCCACCATGGGGAAATCCCGTCTCTACTAAAAAATGCAAAAAATTAGCTGGGTGCAGTTGTAGGCGCCTGTAATCCTACCTACTTGGGAGGCTGAGACAGGGAGAATTGCTTGAACCCCAGAGGCAGAAGTTGCAGTGAGCCGACACCATGCCACTGCTGCACTCCAGTCTGAGCAACACAGCAAGACTCCATCTCAAAAAAAAAAAAAAAAAAAAAAAAAA